ATTCGAAAATGTTTGACATAAGGTTATAATTAATTCACATAGAGAACATTCCAATATTCGTAAAGAATGTTCTCTATAGTAGTCACCACACTGAGTTCCTTTCTCTTGTGGAGTCGGAAGATTTGCGACTACTTTGCTCCATTGATAGTACCTATTCCTTAGCTGTACTTCCTAATAATTCTTCTATCGCATTTGTTCTTATCTTGGATGACCTTCTCAGGAAAGATGAACCCTCTGCTGTTGATCACAAACCCATGTCTAGAAATTCATCGGTCACAATGAAGAGGTGAATCATCGTTGGGGACGCTCGGCATTTCACAATACAGAATTAGGTGGTGATGGAATACTGTGGGATTTAGGAGCCATAAAATTTCCTTGGCTTATTTCTTCGTATTCCTTAACATCGCGCCTTAAGTGGTTGGTTACTACAATGCATTTGGCCCTAAAATAATACGTTTTCTAGTTCAGACCAGCATAGCTCAGCTAATGTCTTAAATATTCGACCTGCAACTGTACTCAATTTGTATTCGGGAAGAATAAAAAATCCCAAACTTTGCATTTCCACGGCTGTGTTCTTGTTTTCCCTAAATTTCAGTTTTAAACTACTAATTGGAAGAAAATATATAACGACGTGTAATAAAAATGTTTTGTAATGTTTTATGCAGAGATCTATCGGATACGTCAATCAGTGAACTGCCGATAATTGGCTTGAAGAATCTGAAAACGTTAACGCTTCAGAATGTGCCGACATTGAAGAGATTGCCACCGGTGTTGAGTTTCACTCATCTTGAAACCGCACACTTCACCTACGCCCACCACTGTTGCCTATTCAAGGTGGGTTGCATTGCCTACTATAGCCACGTTACGACAGCTGAGATGTTTTTTTTCGCTCCTTTGCTTCCCGTTGATCAAAAGTGACGAAGGTAAACACTGTTTGAGCAGTGCGTAGCATAGAATGTTCGACTTAGATTTATCCTTCACGACATGGTTCACTTTCTCTCATTTCCGTCGCTATTAACGTTTTCCTTTGAGCGACTTAGTTGAATTTTCTTCCCCAGTTAAAAGCGCTTTTTATTCGCTTGTCGTGAGCTTTACTTTTTACTTGCCGTGCCCAGTTTTTACATACGCTGTTGCAGTTCAGTGAAAAATCCTTGGGTCCTCAAGAAAATGGTAACCAGGCGCTCTATTTTTTAAAACTTCTTCTTAGCATGTCGACAATGTCATCGAAGGAGAAAATGGTCTCTACAAGAATAATGCGAAAGAAATCCACCATCGAATTTGTAGACAACGAGAAACGCACAGATCTCGACGGCAGGTACGTGGTACGCAGTGGTGTTAGTCTACTTGATAGGGCTTCTTTCGATATCTATTATTGAGAGGGCGCGTGTGGCGCAATGGTTGGAGGCACCACTGCGACAAACACGTGGGATCGATCTCCGCCCCCATGGCCCACCAAGCCTTCCATCCCCCGGGGTCGGCAATTGGTACCAGACTTGCCTGGGAGGACAACAACACTGGCTCGATACATCGGTAGGCCACCGCGAGTCATGGTAAAGGCCAGATATGCGTTCAATTTCCTTCAACGATACTTAATGACGTCGACTGCATGGTGCATCTCTTAGGGATGCATCAACGCCGAGAGCTTCATCTATTATTATGCGTTTAACTTTTTACCATAACGATCTTTTATTTGCGTTTGCAAATTCAGTCTGAACATTTGACGTTTCATTCTCAAATTAACTGCTCGGTTAATGAGCAAACACAAAGTTGTCACTTTAATCCTTATTTATGTGAACGAGCTAGCGTTTCGGCCGATTTCACCCTTCTGAGAACCTGGAAAGGTCAAGTTCACTGCAATCTACTAAGCCAAACACCTCCATAACCAAAAAGAAAAAGCGCTTAACGAAGATTCCACCCACACGCTGGTGACTGTTGGAAACATACTTTTTACAAGCACTTTTTGGTGTGCAAGAGCTAAGAGGCGAGGTGGTGAACTAGTCTGTTTTTTCTACTTGGCTTTCGGTACCATTTATTAATGTAGCCGTGTTCGTAGGTGTTAATTAGAACGCTACGAAATGAATGCCTCTTTTCTTTAGGTTTTTCTTCCGTAAGTTTAAGGTACTCTGACTGTTAAGTCAAAAACTGAAAGCACTTTCCATTTCTAGCGTAGAGGACCTCCCTCATATGAGGGATCTCGAGCCGGTTAGTCGCGAGGCTACGTGGCGCGTCCCCAGGTGGCAGATAGAGGGTTAATCGCGGACCAAAAGCGACCTTTGCTTTCCTGAGGCGCAGGTGAATCTAAGGGATGGACTCCCTGTTTCTCCTGCGCCGATTTGGCACATACTTTCTGTATTCGCTAGGCGTATTCATGCATGCGTGTGTGGGTGTGTTCTTGCTTATGCGGATTGTATTCTATGAGTAAATTCGGCCAAAAACCTGCAATCGTGTGACCGATCTCCAACAATCTCCAACAAATAAGCTCCATGTCCACTCTGGCAGAGCCTGGCAAACTCCCACGGATTAGAATGGAGCGAAGAGAGTGAGCGGCTGTTTGAGTTTAGCATGGCGACAAAGACAATCCATGGTAAGTAGCAAATCCAGAAGCCCCACCCTCAGCGCTGTACCTTGGAGTCACCTAATGGAGAGTACCATAACATAGACCACATCATAGTAAATAGAAGGCTTTGCCTAAGCGATTTCGCTGTTGTCCTAAATTTCTACACGGTATGAGACCATCGTCTCCTTCGTGCAAGATTCTATTTCTCGCTAAAAGGAGAAAAAACCGTTAAATTCAAAAACCGAAGTCTCAGAACCACCGCAAACTGGGACTTATTCAAGTCGTTAGTCGACTGTTGGGAAGATGTCGTTGTCGATAACGTTGACGATCGGCTCATTCAACACCTTCACGCTAGCGCTATGAAAGCTCAGTGTTCGAAAGTCACCAAGAGACGTCTGTCTCCAGAAACTCTCGAAATTACACGCCAGTGTGGAATCGCAGCGTCCGAACTTGCAAAATAATGCGGACAGGCGATAAAAGAAGATCTTAAAGAGAGAAGAGCAGCAGTAATTTTTGAAGCTGCAGGGGCTGGTAAAAGCATTGGCAAAGCCCACCGAAGCTTCGCCATTTAAATAACCAAAATGATTGCTCTCCGGCGCCCAGACGGAACAGTTACAGCGTCCAGAGTGGCAATGGAAAAAACCATTCACGAATACTACTCGGTTCTCTTCGATAGCCACGTCCACGTTCCGCCATATGAAATAAACGAGCATGGATATGTTGTGCCACCGGTTCTCCCTTCCGAAGTTAGACATGCCATTTCGTTGGTGAAAAGTTGAGCAGCACCAGGTCAGGACAGGATAAGACAAGAACACCTGAAGAACCTTCCGCCAGTCCTCGTAAGCACAGTGGCTCGGCTGTTCACACGTTAGATGTCTGAATGCAAGGTCCCTACTCAGTGGAAGACCAGCAAGACCGTGTTATTGTTCGAGAAAGGTGAACTACACAATATCGGCAACTATCGCCCAATCTGCTTACTGTCTGTCGTCTACAAACTTTTCACTCGAGTCATCCTAAACAGGATTGACAGAACACTAGACGAAGGATAGCCATGTGAACAAGCAGGGTTTCGAAAAGGATTTAGTACGATAGACCACATCCACACGGTAACGAGGCTCATTGAAGTGTCGCGAGAGTACAAAAGACCGCTCTATCTCACTTTTATCGATTTACAGAACGCCTTTGATTCATCTGAGATGGAAGCATTCTCGGAAGACCCTGATAGTCAAGGAGTCCCTACTCAGTACATAAAGATTCTTTGTGAGCTGTACAAAAATTTCACAACCAAGATATCACCATTCTACAACGATATTAAAATTGACGTCAAAAGAGGAGTTAGGTAAGGCGATACCATATCGCCAACTACCACTCTCCAGAACGCCATGCGAACATTGAAATGGGATGATATTGGAGTGGAAATCGATGGTCGGTAGTTACACCATCCTCGCTTTGCTGATGACATCGTCCTTATAAAGCGAAACATTAGCCAAGAGGAACGTATGCTTGACGACTTTGATAAACCCTGTGGAAACATTGGTCTTCGACTAAATTTTACGAAAACGATATTCATGAAGAACGGATTGGTTTCGCATGCCTCATTCACGCTCAACGGAACGAATATCTCTGAATGCTCCAGTTACATCCATCTAGGACGGGAAATCAATATGATGAACGACCTAGTTCCAGAGCTGAGTAGAAGAAAACGAGCGGCTTGGGGAGCTTTCAAGAGCATAGAGGATGTAGTGAAGTGAATAAGGAACACCCGACTCCGTGCCCACCTTTTCGACTCAACAGTACTTCCTACCCTGACGTATGCATCAGGAACCTAGTCGCTGCGCAGGAGGGATGGAAAGGCACTCAGCGTTATCGAACGCGCAGTCGAAAGGACGTTGTAGGAATAACCCGTTCCACACAAGTAAGGGATGGGATCCGAAGCTCCGATCTCTGTCAACGATCAAAAATCAAAGATGTCGTTCTGTAAGCCAAGCAGTCGAATGTAAGGTGTTCTGGACACGTAATTCAAACAATGATAATGATGGACAACAGCCGTTTAAGCCTGGATTTCTCGGGATGTCAAACGTACTGCAGGGAAACCACTGAGCCGATGCTCAGAGTTCTTCACAAAGAGCGTTGAAGAAAGATAAAGCTCAACAAGTTCCTAGAGCCAGCGGAACCCACTGGGCTCCTCTTGCACGCGACGTAGATCGATGATCAATAGGGCTACAGATGACAAAGGATACAGCGTAGAGTAATGGCTGGAGATCGGTTACTGGCGCTTCCACCTCAAACACAAATGCAATGACAAGGCTTGGTGCCAGTCGCCGTTCCATTGCCAACTCCACTCACTTGCGAATAATAGTTCCCGGACCATCTGAAGATTGAACAGTTTAGGTACTGCTTTAAGAGTGTCATCAACTGCTGTATCATGAAGTCATTCATGTTTTTCTCTTTCGTGTTATATAAGATCGAGCTGTCTCTAAAGTTCTATGTGGCAGTGAGGACATCATTATACCTCCCTTAAACTTTCCGATCATCTGCAGGAGCCGGACAATTCGCGTGCGTTCACATTCACACAGATTTCCGTATGATAATGATTAAGTGTGGGTAGGTGTTAATCGAACCTGTCCACAACAGATCGGCTGCCCACCACTGAAATCTATCGGGCCTCTCAGAGAGAAAGTATGAGGAAACTTCAGTCTACGCTTATCTACTATGCATCAAACGTGAATGTACCACTATAAGTCAGTCGAGTTACCTCAAATAGTGGAATGGATTAGACAAATTCCCACACAAAAAGTAGCCAGTGCTTTCTTTCTGAGTAAACAACAGGTTGTTAATAACAAGATTTATCTCACATGCGCGACTTTTCGGCGGTTTCATCCTTTCTAGGGCTTCGAAAGGCCAAGCTGAAATGCAGTTTACTCAGTCAAACATTTTCATAACTCAAGAAACAAAAAGCTCAACACAAAAGTTTCATTCGCATAGTAAACAGCTTCTTTAAACACTCATCGTTTTTCCAGGAACCTACATTCGTTTAACCACAGCGTGACTAATCAGTGAATCACAATGTTTAACGTTTTGTTTTCTGCCTTCTATAATTTTCATGGCAGGTTACTAAGCGAAATACAACCACAACGTTGCTGAGATATTTGCAAAACTCTGGACCGCAGGTGTCTATGGTGGGGAACGAACGCGCTATTATCCTTTCCGGGGAGTAACGCGTTCACCACCACACCATGCGGGTCCTTTGTTTCTCCTGTCTCTCAACTATTTCTATCGATCTTTTTGCCACAGCAATCACCCGTCAGCGGGGTTTGTTACTGATCGTTCCCCACCATAGACACCTGCGGTCCAGAGTTTTGCAAATATCTCAGCAACGTTGTGGTTGTAATCAGTGAATGTTTTCTTCATTCAGCTGACACAAGTTTGGTAAAAAAAAAAATTCTACTTGGCTAACGGTTCGAAGCCTTCGCCCCATTCAGAGCCAATGGCGTGAGTCGACGGTGCACAGTCGCTTGTATTGGCTATGTGGTGCTTTCCTCTTCGTATCAAGTCAAATGTTCTTCAGTGGAGCTCCGCTCGAATAATGTATCCATCTCTCTAGCACTGTTTTGTACAGGACGTTTGTTACTGATACCGATTATCCATTAATGTGGCGCGTGTGGCGCCGTGGTTGGAGGTGCCACTGCGACACAGACGTGGAATTGATCCCCGCGCCCATGGCCCACTAATCCTTCCGTCGCTACGGAGTAGCCAAATTGGTACCAGACTTGTCTAGGAGGACAGCAGCGCCGGCTCGATACATCGGTAGGCCACCGCGAGTCATTGTAAAGGCCAGATATGCATGCTGTCACCTCCAACGATACTTAGTGAAGTTGAATGCATGGCGCATTCATCAGAGATTGACCAACGCCGAGAGTTTTTTTTTTAAAAGAAGCTTTAAAGTTTTTTTTCTTTGAGAAATCCATCCTGCAAACAGTTGGTTTCATTATTAGCTAGCAAAGAGTGCTCCGGTCAAGCAACCCTTCTGTATAAAAGAGCTTTACCGGAGAACAACTGTGGACACTCGACTCGCATCAGTCCAGTCCTGAACACTGCAAAGGCGCGGAACGTTAGCTTAATAAAGCTTTTTGTCAGCCTCGCAGTAGCTTCAAGATGAAGGGGCTCTCAGCGTTTTGTTCCTCTTTACATGTTTCCCATTTGTTGTAAGAGACCAGCAGTGCAAGGTCTTACATAGATGGAGAATGTGCATGGCTCAAGTCAAAAAATCAGCCCGATTCATGGTGCGAGGTCACGGACCATAGGACCCTTCTCAATGCGGTTCATATTTGGATTTGTGGAGTTTCACCAGGACGCTGCAAGAGTTTCACGCGCTAATGTTTTAGATTCTCTCGTGAAGATAGTGAGTTTCACTTCAAACAGTTCCCAGGATCGAGTTTCTATTAACCTCGGCATTGAAATATGAATGCGTCGTTTTCTTCTTCAGCAAACGCGAAGTTGTTAAACAGCATACATTTACTTCCATAGAAAAACACAATACAGTACAACAGTAGCTGACGTTTCGGCAGTATCGCCTTCTTCAGGACCTGGAAGGGTATACTGATACTTGTACCTTACCCAAACTCGTTCAATCACCGTCTCTGACGTTAGGCCGAATTATGCGGCTTTGTGTTAAACACAAATACAAACGGCTGCGAACTGGCAGATGTTTTAGAATATTTTGTAAGAAGTCATTCAATGCTACCGAATTCTGTTAAACAACTCTCTTTAATCAATGTTCTATAAGTGTGTTCACTTCGTTGTGGATAAATGGAGGTTACACGCGATCTTGTTTTCGTTAGACTTGCCTTTTAGGTGATTTAATTTCCCTCCAAAGCAGTCCCAGAGTGCTGCCTTTTCATAGCTATTAAAGATGGCTATTTGCCGTGCCGTGTTCAGGGATTCTTGCCTTTCGTCTCTTCCTTCGCACACACTGATTGTTCGTCGAAAAGTAATTTTCACAAACGACTTTTCGGTGTGTTAAGCGTTAGAGGAGAGGTAATAGGCTAGTATATTTTCGTTAGTTGGTTCCAGTAGCGTTTTGTGATCTAGCTCTTTATGGTTAGGTTAATGTGAACTTTCAAGAAAAGAAGTTAGTCTTCCCTCGGTTTCTCTTGGATGAAATTTTCGTGCTCTTATTGTTGGCCTTTTTTTACACGACGCTTCTTCCACATCTATACAATTATTCTTTCACATTTACATTTCATGATAATAAAATGAAACTCACTGAACAGTCCAGGGGTTAGTGGAAAGTCGGTCGTGAGAATTGTTGCAAAAAATCTTCTTTAAAAAGTAGTCTGTTGAAATTTCGCAACAAAAGAACCGAAATCTTCGTCCGTTGGGTAAAATTTTTGCTTCTCCTTCCGTCTTTTCTTTTATTTTAAAGTTTCTTTTCTCAGACATTAAATAACCAAACAGCGAGCGACCTCTGGTCGAATTTGCTTGAACAATGGTTTCACGAGGCTGACGATGTCGTTGACCATGACGATGACGATCCCCCTGGTAACTTTTATGACGCTGTTTATTCCTGAGATACCTGAGCAATCGGAAATTTATATGAGCCACTAACCTTGTTGTTACCAATACTTTATTACTTTAGAATATACCATAGCTATCGCTTTAAAGACGGTGTATTTAAGCAGCTTGCAACTGCTGGAAAATGCGTATCGATTAACATGATGAATTAATCAATATACAGTGTGTGCGTTGCAGCTTTCGATCCGTCAGAAATCGGTGTTACCCGTTGCCTGGACGTGGAAGAGGTGGCCACGGTACAAGGATTCTACCATAACATCACCTGTACACCCCAACCCGATGCGTTTAACCCTTGTGAAAACATAGTAGGGTGAGTTCTAACACACTGTATGGTTTTTTTTTAATGAATTAACGATTAATTAGAAACATAGCGCATGATATGGGAAAAAGTAGGAGCAATATTGTTGAAATAGGAGTAGTAAGCGATGTTAGCTGGTATATGCACTCAATACGCATCAATTAATCTTGAAACAAGTCTACTCCGCATCGTATGAGATGGTATCTCATCCACTTTCTGGTAATATTTCCTTTATTATAAATTGCCGCTAGCAGCGATAGGTAGAGCTAGCTGAGAGGAAGGCAAACCAAGGGCCTCAGGGGTGTAGTGGATAACACGTGAGCTACTGAAAGTGTAATCCTGAGTTCGGATATGGCATGGAGTAGAAGTTCTGCAAATACCTCAGCATCATGATGGTTGTATTATGGCAGTGTTAATGACGTTTTTATTAAACATCTTTGTTAAAGATAACTAACATATCATCATTAAACTAAGACAATGTCGTACAATATTACGAATCAGTGTAATGTCCAGTCATTAACATTTTCCTCAGTCACAATAAATCAGAAAGGTTTAAGAAGCTACATTTCTTCGCTGAGAAAATTAGTCTATTCCTTCAAAGATGATACGTTTGATAGATTCTTCTCAGAAATCCGTGAAGTTCATCGACGGTTTATGGTTGATCAACTTTCAGTCGTCGAACTTGCTAACTCCTTCCATTTGCATGTTGTTCTTTTAATCTAGGAATTTCTTCGTCCAGATTATGGATGCTTCGGAAAGCAATATGGCCGGTTTGTACACTTGCCATCGTTGGCAACGTACTGGTGTGGGTGATACTTGCGTTGGCATTCGAGAAGCGAATGCGTGTTCACTATCTCTTCATGATTAACCTAGCGATTGCCGATATGATTACAGGTTGTTGAACTTCTCTAATCACATCGCCTTATTTTTTATAAACATATACGACTGAACTCCAAATTTCGTGTGGACACTAATATTCCCTTCATTCGATTCGTTTCCTAGCATTCGAAATCCTAGAAGGTCTTCAGATTTGCGTGTGAGTTTGACTGCCAATTGTGGACTTTGTCTAATTCATGAGTGCTCTTGAATGCTTATGCTCTTCTTCCTGGTACACCTCTACTAGATACTTTAAGCGTCTTCACCGCTAACGGTTGCTTAATTCTTTAGAAATGAAGGAACACTTCGTAGGCAATTTTACAACACTTTGCTGACTCTGTTGCGATGGAAGGATTCGTTGGATTGGAGGAAGTTCAAACCAATGATAATGCGTAAACTGCGCAGCATCTATAAACACAGCGTTTCCATATCCCTCACCGGGCTATGTTCAAATTTACCCCTTGTTTGTATAAAGATGTGTTTCCATTATTTGAGACATCCTTCACCAATCGTAATATTATAGAATTCCAAAAGAATTGGTGATGATGATGATAGTAAGCCAGTGGTTTCCTCATACTCAAGGTAAAGCAGTTCTTTACTACACTTATGTCAGAGTCCGCAGGGTTTTTCGTGAGGACGGGCAAACGAAATGTCATTATCAAATAAATGGAAAGAAAATTGGGGGAAAAGAAAACAAATGGACTTTGACGAAATTGCCAGATTGGCCAAGCTTTTTGCTAAAAGAAGCGAAAATATGACCCCACCAAAGTGTAGTAGAACTTGTTTTCGTAGACCTACACAAACATTTCATCACCTTGCGGTATTTTTTTTTTTATTTCTACTGTTATAGGGGTCTATTTGGCCGTACTCGCTGTCCAAGATGTTCGAACAGGTGATGAATATTACAGGCATGCCGTCAGCTGGCAAACCGGATGGGGTGATTTAACCTTTTCATTTTCGCTTAAAAAGTAGAATACGGTTGGTGTAGACGATAGTTTTACCAGTTATCTGAATTAATTGATCCAGACGCAATGAAAGATCGTCTGCTCTTTCAGGATGTAGCATGGCTGGATTCTTCGCTGTACTATCAAGCGAGTTAAGCATCATTTCAATGTTTTTCATTGCATTCGAAATGACTTACAATACAAGGTGGGATCCAACTAATTTACTTTTAGCACTTATCGATCGCTGATCGATAAGGTTATAACAGCTATATTCGGCAATACTTTTCAGAAAATTTATGTAAAACCATAAAAGAGGGTGGTGTTTTCCAATATTCTTAAAAATCTTTTCCACAAACGCTGATGTTCACTTTTTGTAAAAATTTCTTTACCTGAACATGCTACTTTTAAGATTTTGTATTATCCATCAGCAATGCCAAAATGCTATAGGGCGCTTCCAGTTACAAAAAACCAAGCACCATCAGTGGTAACCTACTGATACGTCTTCATTCCGTTACTGGTTTTCTTAATCAGCGTCACATCATTCTGAAACGAACAGAATTTGGGCACAAACAGTCCATGAAGGTAGACTATCTAGTCATTCGAACTGTATCACCTGTCGCACTGTTGATCGTCTAGTGACTCAAGAGAGCGTCGCTAAATCTTCCAATTCTTCTTTTTACGGCCCGTTTGGTTCTGTTCGCTCTAGGAACTCATTGAGCATTATAGTTTTCTTCTAGGGTTTTCTTGAGTGGCTCTGACCATCGGATCGGTAGTCTTTCTGCTGTGCATTTGATATTCCGAGAAACCTCACTAACGATTACTGACCATCCCACCAGTTCTCGTTGTATGTCCCTCATAGAGCAGTCTCGTGCCGCCTAGTCGCGAGAAAACGGTGCGCGTCTCCAGCTTGTGGTTTGTATTAATTTAATTAATTAATTAATCATGGACCGAAGGCGGATTTATGCTTTATTGCTTCCCTGAGGCTCGTGTAAGCTCAACGATTTAAATTTAAACACATGCTGACCAAAGAAGTCGCTATTAGCCTCAGATAGACAGAGGGATAGACATTCGTTGTTATTTTTATTCATTGCTATAATAAATATTTTCATTTTTAATGTGGTCATATTCATGCATAAACGCTTCGTGTCTTAATGCTTTACAACCGCGTTTCAATAGAAATGAGATCGAACCTTCTAATACTACATGAAGAATCTTAACCCTTTTATTTACTGCCTTTTTCTTCTTATTATTGGAAGGGCATGTTGCGAAATATAACTCGTATGAAATGCTGAGATATTTGCAAAACTCCGGACCGTAGGTGTATGCAGTGGGGAACGAACACGCGATGTTGTCCTTACCGGGGAGCAGCGCACTTCATCACCACACCATCCGGGTCCTTCGTCTTGCCTGTCTCTCAGCTACTACATGAAGAATTTCGAGTTATTATGTCGTACACAAAGTTAACAATGTTGACTTTCATAAGGAGATGGGCTTGAGAGGAATTTCTTACCGAGACACATAGAATGGAAGACAACTCGAAAAAAAAACGATACATTAGGTCGTGTTGGATCACTGCCGTTGTCAAACTGAATGAAGAGTTGCGGAAGCAATGTAAGACGCTGCTATGGTCTGACATTCAGTGAGGGTTATCGATTCTAATGAGATGGAAACGGCTATGGAATCTCTACATACTTCACACTACCACCCACTCCCTTCTCCTCCTCCACCCCTGTACAAAAAGAACTTGTAAGCTTGGTTTTATTGTTTTTTCACTTCGTGGATGTTTCCAGGAACGCTTTCTACGGGCAGCGCTTAAGTTTTCCGGTCGCATGCGCGATGATGGCAGGTGGATGGGCTTTCGCATTGATAATGGCCACGTTGCCGTTGTTGGATCTTTCCAGTTACTCCACTTCCAGTATATGTCTTCCCTTAAGACTACATAATATTGGTGATAGGGTGAGTGAATTTGAAACTTCTCTGCTATCCATGCGACATAAAGAAGAACGTTAACGAAATGTGGAAACATCTAGAACTGCTCAAATTTCTTTGATATGAAAACGTCTTGTGCATTATTTGGCAAGAGTTGGTTAAAATACATAATTGGGGTCAATTAAGGGAAGCGTAACTTTTGTGATTGGAATTGTGATTCCATTGGGGCGAAAGTCTTGCCCCTTCGAGAACGTCAAGCGAGTTAAGGTTAAAGCGTTCGGAGTTAATTGGTCTCTTAAGGATGTGCTTTGGATTTTAACCTATTTGAACACCATAAAGTTGTTGAAGATTCGAAAAGTATCTTCACATTCTTACTTGAGAATAAAGTGTTTAGGCTTACATCATCTTTTTTTTATTGTTCAATCTTCTTGCATTCGTCGCTATGGTATTCTGCTATGTTCTTTTGATGTCAATGTTGAAGGTGAGAAAACATAAGAAATTTCTGTTTATACAAATTGCTTTAATGAATGTATCTATTGTTGTGCCTCCCAACGGTTTACCGCCTCATCGTGGCTGGGAGGTGTTCTTGGGTGTCGGGGTGCGATGTACAGCAGGGGGATTCATCTCCTCGGTAGGGTCTCCCAAGCTGAGAAGTTCGACGTTTCCATCAGGAAGCTTAGCTAAGAGTAAACCAGTACCAGGATGCACCACGTCCTGGTATCAAAGCCACAAGGGCTGCGACTACCTGTGGTGGTGAAGACTTGGGTAATACTTTGGCCAGGTTGACCTCGGGATTCCAGGGAACCACAATAGCTTAACCAGCAAATCTCTGAAAAATAGTGCTGGGGCCCGCAAAACCAGTGAGGACGGGCCATTCAGGTATCAAGTAAGTATCTATTGCTGTGAGAGGTAAGAGCGAAAGGGAGAGATAGATAATGACAACGGTATTCAAAAAGAGAGAGGTGAAAAAGACAAAAAAGTAGAAAGAGCACCAGGGAACCAAGAAATTCAAGGCGTTCTTGTCCGGCTTATAGACCTCTTCAGTGTTCTCCATTGCTTCCCTTTCTGTGATCTAACGAATTAACCACTTTATATCTCTCAGTGGTTCTAATAATTTCCATTGATTACGGCAATATTTAATTACTTCAGATGTTTCATCATGTTAAAAATACTTCTTCGGGCTCTAAAAGTTTCAGTTAAGGACCCACGAACACCATCTCGAGCAGAAGATAACCTAATCATTAAAAAAATGGTCTGGCTGGTTGGAGTGGACTTTCTCTGTTGGTTTCCAACTTTGTTTTTCGGTGCTGTGTTTTTTCGATTCACATTTTCTTTTTTCATTCCTATTCCTATTGTCCTTCTTTCACTCCTTTCTCTTCTTTTATCCCTGATGAGAATACCACAAAGTTAAAGCTCCTAGACAAGTTTTCCACTATTGGCTAAATATCCTCAATCTCTATTTCTTTTAGTTTGCGTTTTCTGCTATACGTTATGGGTAATTGAAAACAGAATAGGACAAAAGAACAGTAAATATTTCCGATATTTTTCGATATATCGATATTTTTCTGGATGAAAGTTTACACGAATTCCTCGGAATTCAAGCATTCGCGAGCTTTGGAAATCGATTAGGTGTGAGTTGTCGTAGAAATTCCCGTCGAATATCCAGAATTGCACATTTCTTGGAGTTGGAAATGCTTCTCTGCTAGTCAGATCTATTAATTCATAGGAAACTGTAAAAAAACCGCTATAAAGAAAACCTAAAAACTTAAGAACATAAGAATATCTTCTTATGAAGTTTTCTTTATTCAGGGCTCTCAGCCGCAACGGGTTATCCGCTGATTTCTCTAAGTAGCGCCAAAATTTTACTGGTATTCTTCTTCCCAATCAACGCTTCAGCCAATCCTTTCCTTTACGTGTTTTTTACAAAGGTTAATTTTTTCGCTTCAAATATCGTCATCGATGTTTTTATTCGAATGTGAACTATTACTTCCTCAGTGGTTTCAGATAATTCAACGAAATGTTAAGACAAAAGCGATGCCGATGATAAGACGAATCACAAACACATCCGGAGTGGCGCTGAAGTTCGTAGGAGAACAGTACTCTTTTTTGATCATCTCTTTATTTTGTCTCACTATGAGCTACTCATTGACAAAATTGACTTCAATAGTGTTAAATTTGTACAACTATGTGGAAAGGATTCGGAGCAATTTGTTGCAGCAATGGAATTAACTGCGCCAAAAGCTTTTTATTCCCCAAGAAAATTCCTGACAAGAAGGAAGATTTTATTTTTTTTTTGAAATGGTTAAATCTACACTCAGCAGTTCTTTTGTCAGTCATTACATTCTGGAAACATAGTGGTTCTTTTGTTCCATGCGAATTTTTCGCAATCGTTTCACTGACCCAAAACTTCAAAAATATTTCGTTTTTTCTTCGACACGTCAATGAACGTATGCATTGATACCATTCCATCCGTGGGTAAGCAGCTTAATTGCATTGACCTCGATGCGCATCATGTGGAAAGAAGTACCAAGTGTAGTCCTAGGTGTGTTAACCGTTAACCTACCTCAAATAGTGATCATTTCCTTATAATGTACCGCGATTAATATTTATCAGTTACAAATCAAATTTTAGCACACTATCCAACTTCTATCACTTGCAACCACCAAATCGCCGTGAGGAGGTCAGTCAGTTTCATAGTGTTTTCTACACTTTTTCTGCTGTTCTCGCGAAATGAAATAAACTTATCAGCATTTTTGTTAGGGAATGGACTCCTAGGGATCATCGTAGTCCTAAATGCTGATCTAACATAGATTGTTTAAGGGCCATTTTCACTTGGCGTACGATCACAGTATTTCTTCCATTCGTTTCACTTTTCTGTAATTACCATTTATGATCGTGACCAAACTCGGCCATTCTTGATGATGTGTCATTTTCGTATCTCACTGAAAGGATAAATACGGGGCAAGTGTAGCGTAGTTTTCCCTACGTGAAATAGGCATAATGTAGTGTCCTCAGGGCGTTTCACTACAGCCATTGCAGCGTTTTATCGGTAGAAATTAAGTTTCTTGCTTTGCAACTTAGATTCTTCCAGGGCGATAGCGAATTCCGTGATTAGGATACCGAAGACTTGGAGACAGTGTAGCAAGCGGAATCCACATCTACACAATAGAAAAGAAAGAATTTACATTTTAAAAAGTCGTGCAACTAAAAGCATTCACGAAGAGGACGAATTCCCCACCGAATACTTTCGTAGACGGCGGATAGGAGAGAACAAGCCGAATACCAAAATTGCTCGCATAGCACGGCATAACACGTGAAGTTCGGTCATGTAAGCAAATAAACTAGTAGTAATAGTATTATTGTTTCGACGTATTTGTCTCAACAGAGTAGACGATGAATCGAACATATCATGCTATAATGGAGACAGCTAAAGCTTAAGCTTTGTCGGCCAGTCTATTGTCTTCTCAAACTTTTTAATAGCAGCAGTATGACAGACGTTACATCATTGCTGCCGTTTCTTGAGAAGATTGAAGTTCTCGTCAAACATTGGATCGAGTAAGCAGCTGATTAGAGTGACACTTCCAAGGTCTGAAAAATTCTCAGATATTGCTATTAAGTGGTCCCTTTTTAACGTACTTGTCGTCAACACTCAGAATTACCACACAGATACTAGAGGTCAGGTTTTCTTGTCGCATACTTATATCTTGATTGATACAGCCTACCATACAGAACGCGTTGGATAGCACCTTACATTGATGAGAGGTTTTACTACTTGTTACAAACACTGCTCAAAGATTTTTCCTCTAACGGATTTTTCTCCCTCCGAATTTTGCTCTTCAAAATTTTATAAGCTTTTGTTTGTCAAACCATTTACGGAGTTTTTCCGACCTCCATAAATGTTTTTTGTTGCGTTTTTACAATGCTCGCGAAGAATTACATCTGTCTCTTTCTCTCTCCCTCTGTCTCCCTTTCTCTGTCTTTCTTCACTTTATGTGATTAACTTTACAGCCACTTCTTCCTTCAACGCTTTATTTCAGCTCGGTTGTCCTACTCGTCTGGGTGCTAGTCAAATGATGTCGATCAACAGTACGCCCCGTACTTCAAACTGTTCCAATCTGCCATGTACGGACATCGATGCTTCTGAATATCAGACCCGGTACGAAGGAAGTTTTTTGAAAAATTAAAAACGTCATCCAAAAAATGTTTTTTGTTCAAGGTTTTCACCACGAGTATCGTTTCAAGACAATCTCTACGGCACTCCACGACCTTCAACGGATTCCAATAGGCCGTCTTTTGGATGGTCGAAACGGATTTCTTCGATTCCTGAGGTTAGATAATATATTTCCCCAGTAACATACACTGCCATTAAAAAGAGAAGGCAGTAAACAGTTTTGCAAATATCTCAGTATCATTGAGGTTACATTTCCCCATTGTTGGTTCGACGAATTTCTCATTCAAGCACTCTTATTGACAGGCTTTTAAGTTATTTTTCAAATGAACGGTAGGGGCCAGGGGATGGTTAGGGAGCTAGGTGGACCGTGGTGGATGTGAGATGGAATGATTTTTTTGTCATAAAAGAACACAGGCGTAAGTTTTCAGTCATTTAAGCAAAATTGAGTTCTTTAACTTTTTAAGCCCTTGTGATAATGCTAACTTGTTTAACTGATTATACTAAAAGCTCCTGTTGAGAGTCTGTTACCGGTACTTCATCTTTCTACTGATGTCTTTCTTAAATACTTTTCGTCTGTCTCATTCAACTCTGCGTTGTAGTGGCTGAAGTTCTATGATCCTCCACTACATCAGATGTTTCTGCTTTTCTTTATGCCGTAATAAACTTCTACTTCTACGATTTTCAAAGAATCTAGAATTCATCTTAAAAAATTCCATATGCCTATTTCTTGGACCAGTTACTCCAATTCCAAACAAGAACCATAAGAGATGACAAATGGTTTAAGATAGACAAACTTTTCTGGAAGCTTCAGGGTATTTGTCACAATTCATGGTTTTTCATATTTGCTACATTATATTTACTATTCACTACGCTTTAATTTCTTGGGAAGTGGCTGACGCACTGGTTTGAGTGCCCTGCTATGCACATGTTTGCCGATTCGAGCAAAACCTGCAAAATGACGATGCTCCCATCCTTTTAGGGTCAGCGAGTGGATGCTACACTTTTTTGAGAAGATAAAAAAACATTGATTTAATAACTTTTTATAAACGTCAGCATAAAAAGTCGATATATTTATTTACATGATCGTATAAACTGATCTGGAGTCCCAATCATGACAGCATGGCTCGGAGGAATGCGAAATCGCCGGAACGTCAGCCATGGACCAACAACACCAACAACGCGACAACGAAGACCTACACCAACCTCGTATTGGCTGAACAAGACCAGTTTATAAGATCATATAAATAATTATGTTGATTTAATATATTCGCAATCTCTAGATGTCACTTTATGAGCTAATGTGCATTAAATTACTCTACGATTCTAGAAACGAAGCTGAACACATGGCGTATGCTTAAAGAATTGATCGACGCCAAACAATGTCCTTTATCCTTCACGACTTCACTTTTTAGGTATCTGATCTATCGGAACATTCAAGTGAGAGCCATCATGAACATGTACCGAAACAAAAGAAAGCAAGTGTATCAGAAGTAAGTGATAACCGAAATGCTTGAAAATCTCAGTCTTAGTGTTTTTATTGGATACTTACTAGAATACTTGGATGGCCTGTCCTCAGTGGTTGTACAGGCTCCAGCCTAATTACTTTCTTCTCGGAGTTTTGCTAATCTGGTCATTGTGGTTTCTTGGAACGCCGAGGTTAGCCTAGCTAAAATCTGTGCCAGGTCGTGACCACCACAGGTAGTCGCCGCCCTTGTGGATCAGAGGGAGATTTGCCACCATGCGACTAGTTTGATACCAGAACGATGGTGTATCCTAGTATTGGTTTAGTCTTAGCTAGGCTTCCTTGTAGAAACACCGGACTCCTTCTCAACTTAGGAGACCCTGCTGAGTGGATGGACCACATGATGTACATCGCAACCCAACACCCAAGAGCGCCTCCCAGCTACGATGAGGCGGTAAACCGTTGGGAGGAGTGTTTTTATTATTGTATTACATTGTCTGATCACAATCAGAATAGTTGTGGACTAGGTTTCTAACTATTATCTGTTCTTAAAAATATATTCAGGCTCAGCCTCGCTTTGGTTTATATCGTGTTGGCCCTAGTAGACATCGTCAGAGCAGTGCTGGTTTAGACTCGGGCCGTGGTAGCCTAGTATCTGTTTCCACGGTTTGTTTTTTATGGTTACTTTAACAAAAAAAAAGAAGGTTATCGTAAATAGAAAAGTTGCATGGGGCCATTCTGTGCCATAAAGAGACAATAGAGTTTTGATTCACGGCTATTCTCTCACCTTCTTTATTTTTCTGGATCTTTTCCGTGGTTTGCTTTATATGCATGTTTATGTCGCTTGAAACAAGTATTTAGCTATTCCTAAAGCTTTAAAGAGTAATTGAAATTTCTGGAACAGTTCTAATTATAAGAGCTACTGAACCAATTCCATGTTATAGCACGATACGGCCGAGCGTAACTCACTTGCCAGTCGTGACGGTGCGGCCAACGATACCGAGACCGACGTCATATCAAAGTTGATTCTTCCTCCATCTTCCCCACATTCGTCGTCACCTGGCCTACGACGTTCAAGTTGGATACCACGGCTACTGAATCGGCAATACTCATCGTCATAGATCAGATTTTAGTTTGTTTTGTCGAACGTTACCTAGATATCAGACAACCAATCGTAAAATTGTGAATTCATTAACGCGAAAACGCTAGGGAACTATCTTAACGGTACACCAGATTTTATGAAATTTCAGCATACTAATGAATACCTATTGCTTGTACGTTTTTCATACTTTCTCCTCCTTGTTCTTTGAATTATTCACTTCATGCTGTAGCTAAACTAGGCCACAGCTTCACTGGGTTCACTTCTAACCTCATTTGATGACCGACGACACGGAGTGTGTCTCGGTCGCACGGTCGTGACATCCTACTGCTATTTTCATTATCACTTTATGGTTTTTTATGATCTTGTAATATTCCCGTTGCTACCAGTGAGAGCGACAATGTGGCTTTCCTTCCAATTAAATCACCACAAAATCACCTGCGTTGCTTTGATCACCATTAGTAATAGTTTATCGGGCTCTGCTAATGGCATATCTGGGGCGTGGTTGTCAAAGATGTTCTCGAACAGCACCCGTGTGCTAGCATATCCACATAGATTGTACGGTGGTGTGAATGCGGTATATGTAAGCCCATTCAGCAAAGAAGATACCCAGAGTGACCTGAATTCCGTCAGTGTCTCGGGGGAACAACATGGTTCAGGCTTCACTTCTATCCACCACCTAGAGATATGTCCTCGTTCGCAGTTACCTCATGAAAGAGTAGCAACCGAAATTTCGGCTAAGATGTAGCGTTTGGACTTGAATTTTTCGTTTTGAAATCCTTTGTGTAAATTGCTTAGCTCTAATGGGTAGATTCGTTTTCATTTCATTTCTATTTTGATACTTTCTCATTCTCATTTTCTTGCTGCTCGAACTAATAGTGGGCGGTTCTCCGAATGATATTGAAAACGAAGGTATTTTGTCATTTAAAGTCACAGATAGAAATTGAATAAAATCGTCTTCTTCATGGCTGTGGTTGAATAATAGACAGAAGGTTTTGTCTG